GTTTTAGTTTTTAATATCCCGAAAGTGTTACATTATCTGAAACAATGTGTTTTATTTTCTTAAATAAATATAAAATGAAATTATTTAGAGCAATATTTTTTAAATTTTATTTATTTATTATCTTTAAAAATATAATAATCTGCCACGTGGACAATAATTATAGTGATATATGAACACATTCACACCATATATACAGAAAACATAAAATTAATAAAAGTAAAATAACAACTAAATAATAATCAAAAACTGTGTAAAATAAAAAATAAAATAACCTAAAGATAATTAAAAACATAAAAACACAGTCATACATATATACAATCATGCAGGAAACACCTACCCATGCTTCTCCCTCCAACTATAGAAGGAAAAGCAGGACGCCAAGAGATCTCTGCGCTACTCTCTCAACGCGTCACTGGTGCTAAAGCCAGTGGAGTTCGAGCGAGATATACATACACTCATAGGACAATATTAGGAATCACCTTTTATTTATTTTTATTTATGTTTCAAGAAAAGTAAATGTTACTTTAGATATATAATTGTATTGAATTAATACACAATTGTTTAATAATTAGTAGCGTTTTTAAGTAAAATTTACTACATAGAGAGTGTTTCTAAACTAAAAAAAAAAATTATTTTATTATTATTTTTTTAGAGTGTGTTGATGGACGAAGGAAAAGTTATTATTTTAATTTTTAAATAAATATTTAAACAAAATTATCAGTATTACTATACGTGGCACGCAGCTCTAAAAGTTTATAGACACCGGATATAAATTACTGATGGTAGAATATGATAGACGCATATAATAAGAAATACATAGCATAAAAAATACCATGCAAAAGATAATATGTAAATTAATTAACATTCATATTAATCATGAAAAATGCTAGATGGCAATAGGCTATTAAAGGTCAGATGGAGATTTGACGTAAGTCTCATTGTGACGTCATGGGCCGATGAGTCATGTACACCAATTTCGTCATTGATTGCTACAATTTATTTCAGAAAATACTATTTGCAATTTTATTGTTCTTATGCAACTTTCAAGACCCTCTGTAGGTAAATGACGTTTCGCTACATCTCACGTTGATCGCGCACGTGCAACTTTTTCGTGATAACAGATTGACATCATTGTCATTTTGTGTTGATTTATTCTGACATAAGTATTTTTGTTAAAAATTCATACAATGGTTATCAATATAGTTCTGTTAAAAAATAACTTTCATGTTATATGAAAATTTAGAAAATTATATTTCAATCATAATATGATTTTGATTAAAATCTTGAAGCCATAATTATATATATATATATATATTGTAAACGAAACTCTAAAAAAAACTAAATTGAAAGTACAATAACAGATTAAAGAATAAAATTATTATATTAATTATATTTTATACCCTTCAAGGATATAAAGAATAAAAACTAATGGTTTTAGGCTTAATTAATTTTCGCTATATCTTTTATTTTATATTTACATTTCTAAAAACTACGTAGATAAAACTTAATTAAATGTAACTTAATAAAAATTTAAATGTAGATATTTATATCTGTTTGCCTTCTTAGAAGAATGGCGTAACGGCTGAAAAGTTGCAAATAAAATAAAAATAATTAAAAATTGTGAATAGTCAATTGAAAATAATATATTGGGGTCATAATAAAAATTAAAAATATTTTTTTTTTAATTGTTTCTCGTTGACTGCAACTAATTTCCATCAACCATCAATTTAAAAAAAGTATGGTCAAAATTAATTCAGTCCAACAAAAAGTATATCATATAGAGAGATAAATTTCTCTACTTTCGCTTAGGTATAAACTATTTTTATAGACACGCTTTATTTATTTATTTTGTTAGTATATTACTTTATTTTTTAACTCACACCTGTTGGGAATAATAACAAACAGACGTTGGTAGGCGTGAGGGAAAGTAGTGCCCCGCGGCATCCCTTCCTAACTTTTTTTTCCTAACATATTTATTGAGAGATATTCTAATCTGTCACAATTGAGGACATTAACAATACTATTCAAAGAGCACATTCATACTCCATTCACAAGAAATAATGCATAAAAATATTAATACTAAAAATAAATGAATATAAACAAAAATAAAATAAAATAAACAGAAAGGAACTAAGCTAATCAAAATAACTACCCTAATACACACATGCTTCTATACAATATCTAAAAAAAAAATTCATTCACTGAAAATCTCCGAGCCAAGTCTTTCTCCCTACTCGTGAAAGGAAAGACAGGATGCTAGAAGATCCCAACGCCTCTTACTTAGCCGCATTACTTGTATTAATGACCAGTAGAGGCGTTATAATCACACATACATGGCTTGAATGCAGAATCTGACCATTGCCAAAACTCCAATATATGCCTATCACAAAAGGTCTCTGGACCACTGCCGCTTCAACCTTCGAGGAGGATTTTAGGGATAGGCTGAGCTGGATAGGGATTTAGATAATATGTAAGGTTTAGATGGAATTTGTACATTCTTTCTTGGATATGGTCTAGGGCAAATAGAATATTAAGGTCATATAATCAATAAGTATAAAAAATAGGTTGTAAGTAGCTATAAATATTAATCAATTGAGCACGATAACCCAGTTTACGATCTTTGGAGACATCTGTTTGATCCTGAGCCATTATCCTGTAAATGTATTCCGAGGCAGTTCCCAGCATGAAAATGAAAACGTGCTCGACACTATCCCGAGTGAATGTAGCGAGCGATTTCTCTTATTATTTTTCGTTCGATCACGCTGGGAGGATTTTCACTTCCTCGTGATGTTCCTTATCGATGCCAGCGCTAACCTCGCCAAATATATTAAACAAATTATTGGAGCTGGCCCAGTTATTCGCTCAGTCCTGTCTCCTTCCTGCCCGGCCTTGGTTGATGATGACCGCTTTCCCAGCGATGACTCCTGACAGGTTGGTAATTGTCGAGTCCGGACGGTCATCGGGCTCCAGATGTTGATCGAGCTTCGGCGAATCGAATAACCAGTTTCCGCCCTTCAAAAATAATTATTTTCTATTTTAGCTTCACCTTATGACCTCAATCTTCGTTTAGATTGGGAGGACTGTTATCATTGTGAAAAATATAATGAAAATTTACCTATTATGAACTTGAATGTCTGAGTATTTTTATTTTATTTTATGCTGATTGTCGATAGTTCTAATTGGCAGATGCGGATTAATAAATGAAAAGGCAAATATATATATAGGGACGTGCAATTGAATTTTTAATTTGTTTTTTATACCTTAATGAGGATATTTTATAGCAATCTTACAGTTCTTTGCTCTTTCACCGTGTTAAACCTTACGAACGATATATTTTCAACTAAAACAACTCGAAAAAAAATTCCCGGAATTGGTAATTAAATTAGTACATTCAATGAAAATTTGGAATGATATAAATAAGTTCTTTTAAAACTGGTGTGAGTCAAATAGCATATATATTTTTGGTTTATTATTTTCAATAATCAACCATTGTGATCGACCGAAAAACTCAAAATTTGAGGTTTCACGTTTTATGATGCGTAGAATTCGAAAAACGAATAAATTTTTTTTGTCCGTCGGCCGTTCGCCGTCCGCGTATTTTCTCCGAAACTACTGGACCGATTTTTTTCAAGTTTGGATATAAAATCAGAGGTGACCCGAGGATGATCCTCTTTCATCAACATTACTATCCGCCTTTAACTTTCAAAATGGCGGTCGAAAAACCTGCGTTGCTATATACTTTTTTATGTTTTTTTTTAAGTTTACGGAATTTTCTAAAAAATAAAAAAAAAATCGTTAAAATCGGACAAATAGGAGCAAACATACGGTTCCAGTTTTTTTTTATATGTTCTACTCCAAATGTTATATCTTTTGTTTGGTTTTTAAATTTTGAATGTGTTACTGAAGTAATGCTGTTTTTTTAGCATATTGCTAAAATGATTAAAAAAAAAAGTTTAGTCCAATAATTGGAATCACCTTTTATTTATTTTTCTTTGTAATTAGGAAGGTAATGTTACTTTAGATGTATAATTGTTTGGAAATAATAAACCATTGTGAAATAATTTGCAGGGTTTTTTTTTTTATTATATTGGTAGAAAGTGACTGTAGAAAATATTTAGAGAAAACTTGGTTGGGTTTGTCAGTAAATGTGAGAATGAATTCAAAATCAATAAATTATTTTTATTTTTGTCCTGTGTACCGACGTTTTGGCCTAAACTTCAAGGTCATCGTCATCAATTTTTTTACGGATCAAAGTGGCCGAAAAGGTTAACGCGTGTGCACAGCGCCACGTTTCCAGGTAACCTGGTGGAAGATTATTTAATAAAATATCCGCGTTCCGGATCCAGGGGGAGTGGGGAGGGGTTTTTAACTCTTGAATTAATCCCTCGCCCTCCGATTTGGGAAAATCCTGTATAGCCTAAAAGGGGAGGACGAAGAGGAATTTTCGTTCAAATGCTGTTGAACGAATCCATCCAAGACCCTTAGAAGGAACCACATTAAAAGTAATACAGCACAAAATTGGCTGAGTGAAAACGCTCGAAAACGAGAATTTTCGTAATAAAATATTTGTAGGTTGCGATACAATGAAGCTATTTATGAAATTTTTGGTGGATGATAATAATTTGATAAAAATGGTTATCATCCGGACTATATGCGACATTGCTTATGTAAACTTTTTTATATTCTCGTGGTTTACTTTTTTTAATATTTATCATTATTTATGGGACAAATCTTGTAGTTGAATTATTGATATGGATTGACACTTCAATCTTCAATATTTTAGCACAAATAACACTGAAAGTAAAGTTGCAATCTAATTTTACTTTCCTAGTGGACAAATATGTGATCTCCTCTGGTGGTTGAATATCAAACTACTCAACTACAATTTTTAGAACAAAGCTTTGATCGAGAAACTTGTCCGTGTAAAATGGCCTTGACAGTTTTGAATTTGTACATTTCTTGTTTTAACTATATTAGTCTATAATCAATTAAACTGATAGTTAGGTATGTAAAGGATTTTTCATGCTGCGCATGCTCGAACGAGAGGGTTGATTGATAGCAAGTTGAAGACAAAGGATCCATCCGCGACGCAGTTCGAATCCGGCTTGGAAAGTGAATTGGAGGACACGGGCCGACCGGACCGGCCAAACCTGTTCCTCTTCTACACCAGCTGTCTTCTGCGATATTGCCCAATATCGCAGGCTCTTGTCGAGTCTTTGTCTTGCCGAGGGTCTTTATGACCAGGATCGTATCTCGCTCAATCAACAAGAATTATTATTTTCAATAATGAACCATTGTGATCGACCAAAAAATTCAAAAACTTAACCCTCTCTCAAAATTATAGGTTTTACGTTTCAGGATACGTAGAATTCGAAACACGAATAAAAATTATGTCTGTTCGCCGTTCGTGCATTTTCTTCAGAACTACTGGACAGATTTTTTTTTCAAATTTGGATTTAAAATTAGAAGTCACCCGAGGATGATCCTCCTTCATCGACATTTCTGTCCAACTTTTCCTTTCAAGATGGCGACCGAAAAACCTGCGTTGCTATAGACTATAGCGCCTAAACAAATGTACCAATTTCTATAAACTTCGATAAAGTCTTCTTCTCGATCCCTTTTAAATTTATCTATATAGCACACTTCAACGAAAAGAAGCTAGAAAAAAGTTACGACGGATGGTAAAATTAGATTCCAAATAACTCAAAAAGTATCCTTTGTTTTGGTTTTTGATTTTTGAATGTGTTACTGAAGTAATTTGTGTAGTGTTATGAATTACTGAATTTTCGTAGGTAATAAGTTGCAGGTTACGTAAGTAGTTGAAGTAGGTAAAACCAGTCATGAAGTTTTAGACTAATTTTGATAATTTGATAAAAAAAAAAAGGGTCTAGACCTCAGACTACATATTTTAAACGCTGGTGAAGAGAATATCGTGAAACCAAAAAGGATATGAAAACAAATCAATCAGAATTAGCATTGGAAAAATTATGTGACCTTTATAAAAGCCTCACTAGAGTTTTCCTGCTTCACATTTCACTTTCAATTAATAATTATTATGAAATCTAACCGTTTTTATAGCTTTATTGTAGATTTTTACTTGTTAGCCATATTATTTGTCTACTATAATAAAAATTCTAATGTTTTCGAGGTACAAAGAACGAACAAAACTTAGTGTTCAAAATAAAAAGAATTTAAAGTGATCCAGAAGTGTACAGAGATTTTCAGCCCAGAAAGGGATTTCACAGCGCAAATTAAGCTATCAAAATTTTTGAGGAGAGCACATTTTGACGAGGTATTGAAATTTTTAATGGGACACATTTCGACAGGATCGAATTTTAAACCAAGGATAAAGGAAAAACATGAAACGGCCACCTGATTTTTTATTTATTTTAATACCCTTGCACTTTTTTTAAGAAGAGGAAAGCAATAAAGTACTTCAGGGAGTGGGTTAAGGTTCATGCGCCATCGTTTTTTGGGGAGAAGGGGACCCCTGGAAGTGTATATCAAATATCAACCATCCATCGCCTACGCTCCAGCATTCGATTTTCTTCGGAAATCACAAAAATTTTGATAACTTAAAAACGTCTCCACCATTTATTAACCTATAAACTACAAGAAATTATTTAGTAAAAAACACCAAACAAATATTTCATTAAAAGATTCTTTTAACAACAAATCCAAATTATTTATTTATTTTTCATAATAAAAAATATATGATTTAAAGTGTAATTGAAATCGGTGATCTCACATTTATCGATTCCCCTTGTTAGGGAGAGTTTTATGAGTGTTAAGAATATAACGAATTAAAAGATTTTAAATAGTATCATAAATATCAAATATACGAAAATTTCAGTGATTAAACTTGTAATTGAATCTTCTCTTCAAATTTGAAAATTTATTTTCTAGAACATCGTTTTTCGATAAATATTGTGCATCATTAAAAAAAAAATCTATTTAATACACTGTTATTAAAACACTTATTTAAGTTTAAGATAAGATAAAATAAAATTGCAATTGAACTAATGATTGTTTTTTGTTTATTTGTTTTTATTGTTTATCATTGAGCTAGAAAATGTCATAAATTAATACTTTCTTTAACCCACTTATTTTTTTTTATTACAGATAAGATATCTTCTCGACTTATTACACAAAAGTTATTTAAACAATTGATGCACTCAATTTTATCAACTTTTGTTCATAAATTGATTTAAACATTTTAATTGAGTACTTCATAAAATATTTTTCTATTTAACAAACAATTTCGTCATCTTTATATTTAGTTTTATATAATCTGTAATGAGGATATTTTACTCAAAAGAGCAGTATATTAAAAAATCTAACTGTTTGATACTTTCTTTTCTACAAATGTTAATTGTTAGTGGTTTTCATTATTTGACTAAACAATATAATTTTTCATACCAATATTTTTTTTTAATAAAGTATTTTTTCTTTCTAAACTCCTTTTTTCATATTAATTGTAAAAAAAAAAAAATAAATTGCACCTGTGGGCAGTAAGCAAGCACCTGGTATATGTCAAGGCCAAGTCTTTCCGAGGCGACGGAAACTTGACGTGTCGTGAAGTTATTAATGAACTTAAAACATTTTTTAAAAAATAAATGAATGGAAATCGATATCGAATTAATTACTCAAAACCGATAAAACTTAAATATAAAAAAATTATTGCTGAAAACTACAGAAACTTCAATAAAATCACAGAACATAAAACAACAATTTTTAAAAAAAGATAATGAAAATCGAAAGTGAATTAATAATGACTAAACTCTAATAAAGTGATTTACACTTTTATCATAAATCAAAAATTGTAAGCGGTTGTTATTATTGTGTAAAAATTTCACATAATTATTGTGAAACGAACAAATATAATAAAGGATTTTTATTTTATTTTTTACTTATTATATATACATCAAAATATCTATAAAAAAATACAATTTAATATATATTATTTTTCTTTAGATTAAACACAGGGAGGAGGTGAGACAGATTTCATAACATTGGTACATTTCTAAAAGTTTTTTACCTGAAAATAAATAATGTAAAAAAGTATATTTTATTTCTTAGTCCGACTACTTCGCCGCTGAAAATGTGATAAGAATATCGCGTGAAAATTGAAGGAGGAATCATGAAATCCTACAATATCTTGCTATATGTTATTATTTTTTAATATAAATGACAATTAAAATAAAATTAACATTTAGGTATCGATAAAATAGTTCCATACCTACTACTATGGCCTAGCTTAGCCAGCTTGTCGACTTTTATTAATCGATTTTTCTGTACACATTTTATTCATTAATATAGCTTATTTATATTTGATTTTAATTTATTTTTAACTCAAATTATTGGACAATATTCTTGCCCCCTCAAAATCTTTATTGGTCCCCGAAGTCTGTAGCTATGTCGATTGCAATGGTTCATTCAAAATAATAAATCGAAACGAATAAATTATAATAGGCTATATTTTTGCTAAAAACTATGCATCTCTTGAGATATTGTTGTGCTTATTAATCAGAAGTAACAAAGCTCTCCTAAAGAATATAAACCGATAATGAGTGTAAAAATAAAAATCGATATTATATATATTGAGGTGCTTTAGGAGTCTCAGAATTATTTTCTTTCATTTTTAATAGATTTTAATTTTATTGAGGACTTCAACAAATAGCAATATTTTTGTTTCTAAAAACCTAAATAACAGATGATAAGAACCCCAAGGCAACCATAGCTATCGGAATGATCTACGAATTATCTCGAAAAAGGTACATCTTCGGGAAATGTTGCCCAGAAACGTAAGAGATTAATTATAAGAGAGAGAGAAGCACTTAATTTTCATATAAAATATAAAAGCTTGTTGCCCAACTATATTGGGTAGCTATACAAACAGCATACTCGTTAATCCGTTGGGCAATAAATGAACTTATATATAAAATACAGAAGAGGTCAGTTTATATGAGTATAATAAATATATATATACATTGTTCACCCTTTTTTTAACATTTATTTTCCCTTTCTCTCACTTCTCTCTCTTTATACACCTCTTCTATACGCAATGTTAAGATACTTAAAATTATAATAGAACAAAAACAAACAAAAAATGTCTGGTGTGTCCACTCACATGACTTTCCTACCTATTTCAGAAAAGTTTTTATATCTTTTGATATGTTCATGAAGAAACAAAAAAGAATTGAACTAGACACATTTTCCTGAAAATTGATCAAATATAAGATTTGAGTATGATTGATTTGATAAACTAAACTAATATTAACGGGCTTAAGGTGGATCAGTGTAAAACACTTCCTAATATTACTGATCAAAAACGTTTTTCCATAGCTTAGTATTGTCAAACAATATTTTCTGTTAAAAGTAGAGGGAATAGTGAAGATTGTGTGATTCGGGCAACAAATTTTCTTACTTTCACTTAGTCATCTTTATTCTCTCATTCACCCTTTTCTGACACCAGGATATGAAACCGTAATCTTACATTGGAAATTGAATACCTGTAACTTAGTTAATAGTTGTCCAAAATGAACGATTTTTATATGGCGTTCTGGGGAATTTCATAACCATTCAAACGACAGGCTAAACGGGGGCTCTGAAACGTATAGATCCATCGAAAACCGAATATTGGAAATTTGACCCGATTGCAATACTTTCCTTACCTACTATAGGTAGGAAAGTAATAAGTTAAAAAATGTGTAAAAAATAGAATAAGCTGTATCATCGCTAATACTGGTTCGATTCCGATGATTTTTTTTTTTGTTTGTTTTGTTGGTAATTTAATTACCTTTTAAAATACTCAGGGGGCTCTGAAACGCATAGATCCGTCGAAAACCGAATGTCAGAAATTTGACCCGATTCCAATACTTTCCTTACCTAGTATAGGTAGGAAAGTAATAAGTTAAAAAATGTGTAAAAAATAGAATAAGCTGTATCATCGCTAATACTGGTTCGATTCCGATGATTTTTTTTTTTGTTTGTTTTGTTGGTAATTTAATTACCTTTTAAAATACTCAGGGGGCTCTGAAACGTATAGATCCATCGAAAACCGAATATTGGAAATTTGACCCGATTGCAATACTTTCCTTACCTACTATAGGTAGGAAAGTAATAAGTTAAAAAATGTGTAAAAAAATAGAATAAGCTGTATCATCGCTAATACTGGTTCGATTCCGATGATTTTTTTTTTTGTTTGTTTTGTTGGTAATTTAATTACCTTTTAAAATACTCAGGGGGCTCTGAAACGCATAGATCCGTCGAAAACCGAATGTCAGAAATTTGACCCGATTCCAATACTTTCCTTACCTAGTATAGGTAGGAAAGTAATAAGTTAAAAAATGTGTAAAAAATAGAATAAGCTGTATCATCGCTAATACTGGTTCGATTCCGATGATTTTTTTTTTTGTTTGTTTTGTTGGTAATTTAATTACCTTTTAAAATACTCAGGGGGCTCTGAAACGCATAGATCCGTCGAAAACCGAATGTTGGAAATTCGACCCGATTGCAATACTTTCCTTACCTACTATAGGTAGGAAAGTAATAAGTTAAAAAATGTGTAAAAAATAGAATAAGCTGTATCATCGCTAATACTGGTTCGATTCCGATGATTTTTTTTTTTGTTTGTTTTGTTGGTAATTTAATTACCTTTTAAAATACTCAGGGGGCTCTGAAACGCATAGATCCGTCGAAAACCGAATGTTGGAAATTCGACCCGATTGCAATACTTTCCTTACCTACTATAGGTAGGAAAGTAATAAGTTAAAAAATGTGTAAAAAATAGAATAAGTTGTATCATCGCTAATACTGGTTCGATTCCGATGATTTTTTTTTTTGTTTGTTTTGTTGGTAATTTAATTACCTTTTAAAAGACTCAGAGGGCTCTGAAACGCATAGATTCGTCGAAAATCGCATGTCAGAAATTTGACCCGATTCCAATACTTTCCTTACCTAGTATAGGTAGGAAAGTAAAAAAGTGCATACATTTAGAATTATATAAAATTTAATATGGAACAAATATAATAGACATTTTTCATTAAATTATATAAAGCAGTAACGAATGATATTATTATTGCTGATGTGCTATGGATGCTAATTGCCAAATGACTCTGGTAAATTTTATAAAATTTCGCCACTTCTTTCGCAAACATATTTTATTTAACATATTTATATTTCGAAAACGACTCGCCCAATTTGGATGGGGGGATGTTGTTGCTAATGTACAACTGGCCCATTATCAATTTTATTATACCCCATGCTCACTATTATAGGTTACAAATGGGTTTTCCTTGTCGAACCTCCAGTTCTGCGTTGTCTTACCTCGATACTCCACTCTCTCTTCTGCCTTCTATAAGACCCGGTGACCCGAGGCGTAAGCTCGGAGAGGAGTAATCGCCTTCCGTAGCTGGAGAATGTAAATAAGCTAACCACTGCCTGGAGTGAACTGTTACGCCACTGGAAGCCGCCGGAACGCGGTACTTCGTTACCTGAGGCCGGAGCCAACAGGTGGATGTCGATGAGGTTCCTGATAATTGATGACCAGGATCTGATATCGTAGTTCCTTGCATCACCTGCCTCGCCCGCTTACCTTCCTGTCACCACGGATATGCAGCTCTTAAAGTCATATAAAATAAAGCTAATAAATGCTATATATATATATATATATATATATATATATATATATATATATATATATATATAACCCCAAATAACAATAGTTTGCGACTAAGAATTTACCATGGTATGGGGAATCTTAATGAGATGAAAATATGTAAGTCAACCACAGCTAGTGTTGCCCAAAATCGGTCTTAACCAAGGCCGCCTAACTGTTGCAAGATCAAGAACCAGTTAAAAAAAAATCGATTTTTTAAAATAAAAATCAAGGCAAAATAGTTACTAATACTGGACAATCTTACTTATTATATGTTAATAATTGGTATAACCAATATACTTTTGCATTTAACTCCTCTAATATTTCATTCGGGCTAAGTTAGGTCTCACCTATCTGCCTGAGAGAGGGCATCGAACGAAAGCAGAGTTTGTCATTGATAAAACTATTTAAAGAAGGCTTTTGAACGGATAAACTAATATAACTTATTTTTCTTTTAATTCACAGGTCAAACATAATTCTAGCAACAGCCTAATAGGTGCCGCGATCATCATGAAATACTGAAAACATGTCTGTTGAAACAATTTAGGCTTAAAACACTGACAAATTGTTGAAATGTGTTTAATCAATTAATTGAAAGGATGATCCCATGATAATCCCATCAAATTTTACCCCTCCATCAATAACATTGGAATAACCATTGATCAAACGCTTTCCTAGAAAAACCATATATCCAATATTTTCCGCCCTACCATTTTCACCCTAAAACGTATAAATTATTTCCGTCACCTATTTCCTTTTGAAACCTGTAGGCTCCTAGTTACTTCCTTAATTTTTCCCCACTCTCTGGGGATCTCGAGGCGAAACTAAAACGTTTGATATATTGCTTTGTACGATTCATCTTCGGGATCCCAAATGACGCCTCTGTTTCCCGTTTATATGAAGAGCTGAAGTGGCTTTATTCTTCCTAACGTCGTAAGTATGAGTCCTTCAATTCAAATCCTCTGTTCGTTCCCGCAATACTCGTCCCAGTCTTCTGATTTATACACAAGGGCTCACCGAACCAATGATTTCGACTGATCGTTCAAAATTCGATTCTCTTCCCTATGGAACTCCATCCCTTGCCACATCCGTCAATCTAATACCCATCCTACCTTTAAGTCCCGCCTGTTTAATCTTTTCTCATCCATCCAGTCCCTATAAAATTTTAAATAGATACTACTGTATATATGTATATAAATCATTAGTTCGTTCTTCATTATTTTTACTTATTATTATTTAAATAAAATTAGAAAGTAACTTATATAAAGTATATGTATTTCTGAGGCTCCTTAGCCCACATTTCTGTCTTGCTGTATTATTCTAAATGGACTCCTATTCCTAGTCCTAGAATAACTAAAGTATTATTTTTTTTAAAAATAAGATCGCGAATAATTATTCAGTTAGATCTGGTCAGTGTTTGGAACAGTTCGTATTCTTTAAATAATTTTCGAGCAAGCATAGCCACGAGCGGATGATCTCTGATCCTCCCTTCCAAGGATCGCCAGCGGGATGGCTGGACCCCATGGCTGATGGATTTAAGCAAGTTAAGACCGACAAAGATTGGGAAAGTCCTTGGCAACAATGAAGTGTCGCAAAGGCTTTCGTTCGGCTCCTGACGCAAGCAGCAACCACCAGCAAGGACTGCTTCAGGGTTAGGTGTCTCGCCGGTTCGATTCTAGCCCTCAACTGGTCCAGCCCTTAGTCGTAGGCTATATGGGAAACCCCAATGAGAGAGACCCTGAAGAAATCTGATGGAAAATCTCTAAGTGAGCCGATCTGGTAATATCTTTAAGCTATGAGATCAATCTGCGATACAGACTCCTATTTATAATATTTTTAAGATTCGTAGAAACTTCATGAATGGCTCTAGCAATTATGATAAAAATAGTTCACACGAATTTAACTCATTCACATCTCATAAGTAAACAGCCACCATCAAAATACCAATAAATATAAATTGAAATAGAAAAATCATCTTTATTCTGGGACTAGTTCCCTTTATAATAACAGTAATGTTCATATAAATTAACCACAAATCTGGCCAAAAGACCTATTACAATGAATAATAACAAAATACAAGTAATAAATTGAGTATAATAGCTCTTAGGATAAATTAACGAGAACAGCTGGGTAATAATGGTTCAGTACTACAATATTGGAGCTAAAACAATAGCATAATAATCACTGAATGAAATTAGAAAGGATCTCAAAATCAATTTTATAGGCAAAGCATTGTAGTGATGGAATATAAAAATTAAAAAAAATAATAATAATAACTGTTAATATGTAAAGAAATAAATTGTAAAAAATACAAAATGATATACATATGTTCCCTAAGTAAACACTGATATTGCTCCAGAAGCAACAGTCGTAGAGAAGAGGTCGTCCTCACGCAACTGAGGATCGGACATACTAGACTGACACACCTCCACCTCATAACAAAAGATCTTATCCCCAGATGTCAAAAGTGTAACCAATCACTAACTATAAAATATATTTTGGAAGAATGTTCTTTTTACACCGCAAGATTAAAAGACCTCGGAATACCCCAGAATATATCAGCATCCCTGGGAAATCAAGAAGAAATGGTTACCAAAGGCATCAAGTTCCTGGATAGTGAAAGACTTAAAAAACACATATGACAGGCTTACAATCAAAGATCCTTTGCAGATTTATTATTATTTTTTTATTTATTAATTTTTTTTATTTATTTATCTTTATTCTATTTTCTCTTATAATTATTTTATTTTATTTTTTTCATTTTAAATTCATTTGTTATTAATCTCAATTCATTATTGATTTTACTGCTATTTTTTAAAGTTTATTTATTTATACATTCTATCTTATTACCTATAAATGTCATATTTTCCAGGAATGCCCTTATCACACCTCAAGCTTAAATTGATTATTTCTTAGACCCGATATATCAGTGATGTTAAAAAATAATCAAACAAAAAAAAACAGTAAAAAATTTCTTATAAACCATAGCCTATTAAATAAAATATAGAAATGCATATCATTTATATATATATTTATTTATTTTTCAAATGAAAACTTCTTTAGGCGCGTTTTGCACTTTTCTTGTGAAGAGTGAATTTAACCGTCAGATCTCCAATGTGTAACGCTCTGGTAAAGTCTGCTGGAGTCGACTAATTGAAGTGTTTTTGTAAATATATTAAAATAACTCAAAAACTAAAAAGACCAGACCTGCATATTGTTAGCGAGAGAAGTTTTCATCATTTCATCATCTTTGTAATGAGCCATTATTCTAAATTGTATCTTAAAGCGATGCTGTCTCGGAGAGGCGAAAATAAGAAAAATAGTGTCGAAAACCAAATTATAAGGATTTTTATTGAAGATAAGGATTTAAATATCTCAGAAGCTAAAAATCTGACGTACATACTGTAAGCGAGAGAATCTTCTTATTTATATTTCATATTATTAATCTTGCCTTGTTGATGTTTTTACTTCTGTCGTGTGGTCTAAAGCACCTAGCATAGTTTTTTTTATTATTATTTATTTATGAATTAATAATTTATTGATTCCTATCTTCCCCTCTTGTATAGAGTTTCTGAACTCCAAACAACTGAAATAAGTGACTCATAGGTGTTGATGACAACGTTTTTATACTTTAAAGCCCAAACAATTTTTTTATCTACAGAAATTCCGAGATACGGTACGTGTTCTCATTAAACTAATTAATTAATTAGATATTAAAAACTCATGAATACCCATTTGCTTTCCACTTAAATGGTAAGATAATTTGAAAACCAAATCGACCAAAAAGCTGGCCTACAAAAATGTTGAGCCTTCTGTCCTATATAAGCCATATTTTTCTCAACTCTGTCATCAACAGTCATCAGATCTTCGTGCAGCAAAAAATTCAATAAAAGCTCAAAATATATAAAATTGTTTAATTTTACAGAAACGTTTAAATATCATCTAATTTGTTCAATTGTTTAATTTATAAAATTAATGTATCGAAATGTTATTAAACCTTATGTCAAGTTTCTGCACTGTAATTTTCAAGCATTATAAGTCTTGATTAAGTTTTTCTTGATCACTAAAATAAATTTTGGGGACTTATTCTCTTTCTAAAAAAGCCAGAAGTGAAACTGAAGGGCTGAAGAAGAATGAGTGAAAATTCAAACAATTACAATTCAGGTGCTTAATTTGGTTTATTTGAGAGATAAATTTGAGAAAAGATAACGATTGAAATATTGAAGGAAGCAATTAACTGTCATTAATTTAGAACTATAAAATTCGTTTGCAATTTATTTAATTTTATGTACTATAAAATTTTATTCTTACATAATATGTTATTACTTATTGTTAACCAATCACACAACCTTCGAATTTTTATTACATTTTAATGTTAAGTGTTTTTTCACCCGGTAAAATCGATTCGTATTGGCATTAAAAAAAAATGTTTGAATAGTTTGAACAATTTTGTAATTACCTTATCCTTGTTTCCTTATTTAACTTGTCTGTGACCTTTTTCAACCGAGTTTACAATTTCTCGGATTAGGAAAACTGCCATTTAAAAATAATTACATAATTTGTAATTTTAAAGGTTATGTTATCTTATTCAATTGTGACATTAATTGCCTGTAAAAAAATTACATAGAATGTTTTAACAACCGTAGTTTTTTTTAAGAACTATACGCTAAGTTTAATATCAAACTAAAACGTTTAGTACAATGTTATAATGATATTGTTCATATTACATTTTTTAACAATTACAAACATGCATTGGTCAATTAGTAATCAGTGAGGTTAATAACCCATGTAATTAGTTTTTTTTTTTAATTTTAATTCATTGAAAGTTTTTAAAGTTTATTTCCAAAATCGACCTTTTTTCATGAAGGTAATGAAACTTGGTAATTTCTTAAGTATTCTTAAAAAAATGTTCATCCGATTATATTTTAACCGTTATGTTAAATGCATTTTTTTTTATTGTACCACTCTTTTTAACGAAAAGTTGATTTTTTGTATTATAAATTTTGTAACTTTTTCCCCACGAATCGTAAATTATTTTTTTTCTACAAACATACTGTTGTTTTTTTTTCAAAAGCAGAGCTTTTTTTATTCATGATATTTACAACTTTATTAAAAAATATCATTTGTCTTGTAAGTGTAAGTAGTGGTCAGAAACGTTGAGATTTTTAATGTCATTCAGTCTAGTATGAAAAAGCAAGTTTTAAAGTTTAAATATTTCTAAACAAGATCCTAATTAATTTTCATGTTTTTTTATTTATTATTTTTTTTTTTTGCTCTCTTCGTACTTCTATCCACACATGTCATTATCTTGGCAATGAACAGACGTGATCTCATTTTCAAAAAAATGGCACTTAAGGCATGAGGAAGATTAGTTCTCGGCAGTACCTCTTCCTGGTCTTGGTCTACTTCATAATTTATTAAAGGAGATCTCTCATCCAGCTCCACTTTACTCGTCTCCTTATGGATATGTCTGCTGTGACCATGTCGTTGATAAGCCCGTTGTGATTTCACGTAGAGAAGACGTATGTGTTGGTCGATAGTCGGTTGTCGGTTGTCTTAAAATTTTGGACGATTGTAATTTTTGTAAGTGCGTCTTTTTTGCAGAACGATAAATTTGTGAGGCGTATTTCCATATGTGTTTGAGTAGGTAAATGTATGTATTTAGTTTTTGTCTGATTGATTTGGAAAAAAGGGAGTATATTATTTTCTGTCGTTTTTTCAAAGCATTTCGTTTCATTTTGACATGTGGGCCCCAGGTCATCCTTCAGTCCAATAATAGCCCGAGATAATGTACAGTGTCCGTCCGGGGAATTTGGTTATCGCTGATTTAAACTAGTGAGCATGTGTCTCGACGAAGTGTAAACGTTATATGTCGTGATTTTTCATGATTTAACCTAATTTTCTTAAGTGAGTACCAATTTTTGTAAATTTAGTAATTGATTTCGTAAATTCTGTGAGGCAAGTCGGATTATGGTGTTTTGTTAAAATTATTGTATCGTTAAAATTGTTCATTATAATTATACTTTACCGATAATATGCAAGTGCCATTGTGGCATGATTTAATCAAATTTAAGTGTGTAAAAACTACACAGTCACTTCTATAGAAATCAGAACTGTGTCGAAACATCAGGTTTTTCCCAGCCCGACGAAATTTTTCTGTATTTTTTGCTACCTTGCTTCATTCATAATTACATAACTGACAATGAAAGATGTAACCAAACGTAAAAGCAATTACCCTTTGCAATTTGTTTTGTGTGATTGTTCCTGGAAGATAGATTGAAGCAGCGGTGACAACAAAGAAGATGGGTTTATTGCTGGGCGTTGGAAGACATCTTCATTTCCCATTCATCCCTAATTACTTCCCATCTTCAATAATCCAGGCCGCTATTTCACCAGGGAATAATTTTAGACTGTTTAGTCCCATCTAGGGCTTCGACTAATTACATTTTTAAGATACTCCTATTAATAAAATGAAAATAAAAAGATACCCCTCAAAAAAAAAAAAAAGTTCTTAATAAAATATT